TTGAACATAATGTTGATATATTCCAAGGAATTGCATTTAATGAAATTCACCAAAATATTTTTAAATATTTAAATATATACTAAAAATAAAAGAGGACTTTACAAAATATTTTGAAAAATGATATATACGATATTCTTTATATGAAGGGAGAATAATAAAAAAAATTTCTAATAAATGTAGCATCTATACGCTTTATGATTAATGTAACTCACAATAAAAATATTGCTTGAATAACATTTGAATAAAATCAGTTCGATTAAAAATATAATGTATACGAAAAATAATTATAAGAGAGAGTAACTCAAAACATTCCTAGTATTAAGCTCTGATCAATATGAAATCTAGAGTTTTCAAAGTATGTAATTCTAAATTCTGCTGAAACAAAAATATTATAGTAAAAAAGAATGAATCAAAAGAACCAATATAACCCATATATTATTACTAATTCTTTTTTAAATAAACATAAAATATCTAAAACAATATCTGACAGTCAAAATAATATACCTGTGCAAAAATTGAATTCAGCAGAATTTTTATATCTCTCTCCTCATAAATTAAAAATTAAAGAAAATAATAGAAAACGCTCTCTACATTCAAATAATACATTATATAATAATATGATTAACTATATAAATAATATATATGGTATCTAAATTATTATTCATATACTAATAATTCCCTTGATTAAAATAAGAAAAATATATAAAATTATAATTATCTATATCATGATCATAAAAATAGTATCGTCTTACAATCAAAATAAATAACAAAAAGATAAAGTAATCATAAATATACATTAATGAGTAATTAAATATAAGTGCAAAAACAAACAACTAAATAGATAATCATATTAATTAAGATCTACAATATAATGTATATTCCTATATATAATTATAAATAAAAAAAATAAGAATTATAAATACGCTATATATCATGTAATGAAATATATACTTGTGATCCAAATAACAATTATATATTTAAATTGAATACATGTCCTATTTAATAAAGTATAAATATTATCAATTCGAATATGAATTTATCTAAATAAAATAATCCTAGTTATAAATAAATATAAAATAAACTCAAAAATCAGAGTGCAATAAGAAAAAAACCTCACTAATAAAAGAATACATTAAACGTGATAAATAAAAATAAAACAATAAGTTAAAAATATTATAGCTAAATAACAAAACCATACCATTAAACCTAAAGCTAAAAAAGAACCTGTACTCACAACCCTAAAACTAAAACATAAATTCTAAATCATAAACCGTAAACCCAAAATAATACTGTGAATTGTTAGTTAAACTAACATATGAATTACATATATTCCTTTAGAACAAGGAAATAAATTCATATATATTATCAACTTCTAGGTGCTCTCAATAGTATAAGAGTTAATTCTAAGGTAGCTATAATGGAAATATATACAAATATAGAAATAAATTATACAAAATATACATTAATATAAAAGAACAAAAGAAAAAAGATTTTATATATTTGTTTATAATTTGCTCTTGTTTTCGTAGCTTTATGTATCATTTGGTCTCTCTTAATTTAATTA